CATCCTCCAGTTCAAACAGTCTTATACTGCCATCCAGTGGTCAAAAAATGTACTACACAAAAATTGAGCAACGTTTTTTCTTAAATTTGACAATAATTATTAATTATTGTCAAATTTCAAACAACATTATCGTTCATCGCAATAATTTCTGAGACAATTAATCGCCCAGCAAAAGGAGGAACGAGGCTAATAATAAAAAATAATTTTATGCTGTAGTGTGTTCAGGTAATTAGAATTTGCTGAGTGATTGAAGAGTCTCCTGCGGACCCTCAATCATGGAAACAGAGAGTTTGACTCTCTTATTAAAGAAGTGACATGCTTTAAAATGTGCCAGGCACCGCACGGCTTGTTGATTGCACAAATGAGTTTCACCTAACCTGACCCGAAAGGATGTGTGAGTAGATTACTTACTAATTTGGCAGCGGTCTCCCAGTGCCTGGAACTGAGCGCAGTCACACACACCGCCCTCCTGACACCAACCACCATTAAGGCAGTCGCAGTATTCTGAGAAAGACATGATAAACTCAGAATTGTTTACTCCTGAGTTTGGTTTTAAACGTGTGGGATCGCTTCATGTAGGATATTTACCTGAAGAGGAATCTCTGGCTGTGTAGTTGTGCAAAATGCTGCGCGACAGAGTACCCTCTGACAACAATGGCCTATATGTCTTGGAAAACAATAAACAATAGACACTTAGATCAGTTCCTTGAAGGAGTCTGCCTTAACAGCATCACTGACTCAGACCTGCACCCGCTGTGTACCTGCTGCTGTAAGTTAAAAGTTACAACAGGCTGAGTGGGAGAGATGCTGTGCGTGTCTCGGGGCTTACAAAGACAGCTTTGTGCCGAGTGAGGTGTTGTGCGCATGTGGGTGCCCTGACCTGCTCTGGTTCTCTTAGGTGTAGTGTACAAACCTCCTCCCCAAGGAGATCCCGTTTCCTCCTGAGTGCATTAGCCCGTCTGCACACACACACAAACACGCACATTAGTGGGAAGAAACAGTCAGAGGGGAGACTTAAGTGCACTTTACGCCACTTGAATCCAGACTCCAAACGACTTTTTACTGAAGCCTCACAGATAAAAGTTCAAGCACACACACACACACATTCATTTGCAGTCTCTGTCACGTCCCATCCAGAAACAGAAAGTGTGGATTTACCACCTTTTACATGAAAATAACATTTTGTAATAATCTGTTTTATTTATTTACCTCTGTGATCTTCCTTCTGCCACTGAACGTTGGATCTGAGCTCCTACAATAAAAATCACATCATCAGATTAAAGGTTTTATCTAACATATTGTAGATTATCGCTTATTATATCAGGCTCATATGTAATTTCTAATGTCCTAGATTAACTCACCAAATTATATGAATCATCTGTGGAAAAACTAACAACTACCTGAAATACAAACAAATCTGGACACGAAAAATGATCTGGCTTACCCTCAAGTAACAGCAGGTGGGAGACTGAAAACGACATGAGAAGAAATCGTTTCAATGTCCACTTCACGTTCATCTCAGAGTCCGAGAGGAATTCACACCGAAACGTTAACGGCACATCTCACCTGTCCTGAGAGGAAATTAGGATATGAGGAGGGCAGCAGCTGGATGGTGCCTGCCTGTACCTGGGAAGCCCACCTAGAGGAGACAGCCCCCACCTTCACCCCCCACCCCTCACCTGAATGAATGGTTGCCAGCAGCACCTTTGTGTGAATGTTGGGCCCAGACACTGACGCCATACGAAGTGTTCACCTAGAACAGGCACCTAAAAATCAAAACTTTTGGATAGGTAATGTAAATATTCACGTGTTAATAAACTTACTGCACTGTAATATATAAACAGAAAAATAATTCTTCAATTCAGAATTGATAAGATATTTTTAAAAAAATCAATTTGCAAAAGTGGTGTTACCAACTTTATAGCCTGTAATTTTTCTGTTAGCAAATTTTCATTTGTCATAATGTCCCTCATTAACATTCAAGTGCTAGCTAGGCTACATTGTTCCTAAAGGCCTCGTTGCATTGGTATGTTAGCGCCTCCGCCATATTGAATGTGGCAGATCTGTTTTTTTTTATTTTTTTATTGAGAGTAATTTACAAAATTGTGAAGGCATATTAACAACCAGTTTTAAGCAACTCTCAGCAGGGCACATATAAAAATAAACAAGAATCAATAAACTTAACAAGAAAGTAAGAAGACAATGTTGTGTGGAATTGGAAAGAAAAGTAGAGTGAATAACTAAAAATACACATAAAAAAGAAAAAGTTATGACCTGTGCTGACTGCTCTATGGGTCCAAGAATATACCATGATCTTCAAATGCTCCAAGAAGGGCATGCGCTTTTTTTTTCATCAACTTCAGGGCTTTGAGGTAATTGTCCACGAGATAGTTTTTAAAGGCAAAAAAGAGCGATTTTGTCTTTCTCCATTTGGAAGTGTGGATGAAACATGTTCCCAGGATAATCAGGTTGTTTACTATCAGGTCCAATTTTCTGTTTTCCAGATGAAGACCAAATATAATAGATTATCTTGTGAAGGGAGTGATTTGGATTTTGGATGATAGCCAGTCCTCCCAAAATGTCCCAGATATAATGAAAAAACATGATCAGTCGTTTCAATGTCCATCTCACAAAACACACAGCTGTTATGATCAATACCAAACCTCAATCTTAGCCACTCGTAGGATGGATATATGATATTCATAACTTTGAAGTGAATTTCTTTGCTTTTGGGACTTATAGTGTAAGAAATATATTTATTTCTTAATTTTTTAATGTTTGATTTGGAAAACAGCTGGTTAATGGAATTTCTATTTGTTTGCTTTGGAATACGGATTTTGTTACGCTGAGTACGTACGAATACGTTTGAACAGTTCTTATCCAAAAAATTAAGACCATTAATATTTAGTGCAGGTGGGTTAGTAACTACCAAGTGAGAATTAAGAGTTTTGGACTAATCTCTTGACAGTTTCTGGGATGACTTTAATAACTTGATTAAATTGGGACTGAGCAGTTTAAGTTATATTTTAAGCAAAAGTCTTTGTAAGAGAGCCAATGTCCCTGGTCATTGAGTAGCTGGGTTATGGGCCAGATGTTTTTATCCATCCAATGTTGTAAGAAAAGATTTTCTATTACATGTGATATATCTGTGATTCCATAATGGAGTTTGATGTGGAGTTAAGTTATGTGGGAACAATAGTTTCCAGTACAATAAAACCTAATAGTGGAAAGAAGACAGTTTGGTTGGTAATTTTTCAACTTGAAAATCAAATTTAAGAACAAATTCTATTCCTCCCATTTTTTTAAAATCACTCTAGGAGACAGTACCAAATGCAGTTTTTGTTGAAAATAAAGAATTATAGCAACTTTAATTTTATCATCGCAATCAAGCATTCAAAATCTATCTCTTTTAGACCTCCATCCTAATAATCTTGGATTATTCCTGACTTTTTTTGTATAGTGTACCCTATTTTTCCAAATAAAATTTAAGTTCAGTTGGTTGAAAGTTTTGATAAATTTATTAGATATGAATGTGGCAGATCTGCCCAGAGATGTGTACCCATCTGCCCATACGTAGACGTCTGTGTAGAGGCCTCATTGAGCGCCGAATTGTACGTCGACGTTGCCGCCATATTGGATGAGGCAAAAGTGAAATGATAGGATATAATGCCGCATTCATTCAGAGTGACAACACAGAAAAAGCTGTGCAAGACTGTTCTTTTATAATACACACACACACACATACATACTTTGTATATATATATATATATATATATATATATATGTATACACACTATATTGCCAAAAGTATTTGCTCACCTGCCTTGACTCACATATGAGTTTAAGTAACATCCCATTCCTAATCCATAGGGTTCAATATGACTTTGGTCCACACTTTGCAGCTAGAACAGCTTCAACTCTTCTGGGAAGGCTGTCCACAGGTTTAGGAATGTGTTTATGGGGATTTTGGACCATTCTTCCAGAAGCGCATTTGTGAGGTCACATACTGATGTTGGATGAGAAGGTTTGGCTCTCAGTCTCCGCTCTAATTTATCCCAAAGGTGTTCTATCAGGTTGAGGTCAGGACTCTGTGCAGACCAGTCAAGTTCATCCGCACCAGACTCTGCCATCCATGTCTTTATGGACCTTACTTTGTGCACTGGTGCACAGTCATGTTGGAAGAGGAAGTTTGGAAAACTGGGGCCAAACAGTTTGGAGTTTGTAACTTCATAAGAATATTTCTGCAGCCTAAATTCCCCTTCTACGAGGAGCCATATTTTTATTGTTTTCACTAACATTATAAAAAATGTAATTGATTACACTGGAAACTGGAATAAATATTAAGCTCATTTTAGTTTTCTTATTTTTTGTTTCTGTTGGTTGGTTGAATCTGTCCAGAGGACATGACTTAAGCTTGTTAGATGTTTCTACCTGGATTATTGAGCATCATCAGGACATTATGATTCCTGGCTTTTTAAAATACTAATGCCAAAATGTATCATTTAAATAAGACAACAGATCAATCCATCATAGCCCACACTAAAATATAAAAATTTAAAATGCATATAAAAAATTCCTTTTTCACAAAAACTCTGTCTAAATCAGTTTTTCTAATCTTTGTGCATATAAGGACAAAACATTAAGTTGAAACATTGAGCACCCACTTTATCGAGCCATAGAAGAGCTGAAGTAAATGCTCCTAGGAATAATGATGGTTAATTTGGACATTAAAAATTGTCATAATTCAGTGGCAATCATCTGGATTTTGTCGAAATGCTTTAATTTGTCTCCCTCTGCAGGTTGATTGTGTTCATCAGGGTATACACCATGAACAGAACAAATACTTCAAATGAAAAAGAACTCGTGTTTTATTACATTTTACTTGGTGATATAATTAAATACACATTTTAAATAATATTTTAATTACAATCAAGAAATTGTTAAAGATTTAAAGCCTTTTGTGACTAATAATTCAATAGTGTGAATTTCCAAGCAGGGTTTTATTAAGTAAATATGTTAAACATTTCAATGCAGAGGTATTTTAAAAAGTGGGAAAATGTCCATTGGAAGTAAATGCATCTGTTGGGGTCTATTTCTTGTTGGATATGAGTGCATTGACTTCATCCTCTGGTTTGAGGCTGTGCCACTGGGCGATTGGCCTCCGGGGGTTGGCCAGCATGTCTGACCAGTGGCGTAGCTCTGTCCCACTGCTGTTTCCACTCAACAACAACTTCCCGATGGCATCATTCTTCCCAATCTTGTCATAGTCCAGCACAGTCACTGCTATCTGCACCTTCTGTAAAGAAAAAAAAAACACAAAACCACAGATTTGAGACGATTGCATTAGCATGTATGTATGCGCATGTGCATAGTTTTGTGCACCTCTATCTGTTCGCATGGCACTTCAAAGCTGAATGACTCGTTGTAGTAAGGGTTCAACGTGTTTTTCTTGATCGTAGTTTTCTTTTTCTTGAGTCTTTTCCCACTCTGCATTAAGTGGATCTTCACATAAGGGTCTGGTAGAGATAATAGAGGAGTTCATTAGAGCAGCAGCTTGGCACTGATGTGGAAACTCTATCAGGGAAGCATAACATCCTTCTGACTGGTCTTTGTCTTGGATTGGGTTTGATGAAAGCACTGACATTAAAAAGTAATTAAAGGACTTTAACGTGCAGTCTGGGGCAACAATAATATTTAGATATCACTTGATTTTATACAACAGTAACAGCCCATGTCATATCTTATATAAATGCGTTTTATGCTACTTACTAGACTTACTATAGGAACTAATATTTTCAACTCTAAAGCCAAAACTTTCTCATAGACTTTAAATCAGATGCAAATCTATTTCTTTTTATTGTTTAACTCACCAGATAATCCACCCACGTCCATTTTCTTCAAGTTTTTGGCCTCCAGGACTACCACAGTCAGCTTCCCTGCAGTAGGAACATACCTCAGGGACAAACATATGTCTCCAAGTCGCTCGCTCTAACACACAAAAATGAACGACTTGTTGGAGGAATATCTAACAGTTTGCTTACAAGTATCATACAGTTTTAATAAAGTTGACCAGAGGCCATGACACTACTGCTGTTTGTGCAATGGATCTGTCACTGCTTTACAGGTTTTTGTTTAAAATATCAGCAGAATGCTTGATTCTCCTCAAATGAGGAACATCAGTCACCTTGTTGCTTACTACCCCACATTAAAACATAAAAATAAACTTTGTGGAATGAAATCAAACAGTAATTGTATACAGTGTCAAAATAAAGTACAGTAACACTGGCTGACCACAAAAAAAAACAACCGTTCCTCCTTAAAATTTCATGACATTTTCATGACATCATCGTGACCCCCATGTCATTGACTGTGGGGAGAAGCCTTCCCACCACCTCGAACCTCTACACTTCACGATGCAGGGGGAGGGTGCTCCGCATCATGAAGGACTCCACTCATCCTGCACACAGTCTGTTCCAGCCCCTCCCCTCAAGCAGGCGGCTGAGGAGCATTCAGAGCAAGACCACCAGGCTCAGAAACAGGTTCTTCCCTGCAGATGTGAAACTGCTGAACTCCAGCTGCACTTCATTCAGCTTCATCTTACTTTTTTAACCTGAATCTGAATTTCGTACCACAAACATGCAAATGTGAGCTGGTATGGCAATAAAAAATTCTTGAATCCTTAAAATGAAAGCTTCTTCATGGTTTAAGAAGCTAATTTTAGTTTGTGGCTTTTTATTATAGCTTTGCGATATGATTTTTTTTTTCTATTGAACTTTTCATCTGTTCAGTACTGTAGCGCACATTGGTTAGTTTAAAACAGATGTGTCAAACTCAAGGCACGGGGGCCAAATGTGGCCCTCGTTAACATCTTATCTGGCCCCCAAGATGTTATTTTAAATGTAAAATACTTTAATCACTTTAATTTTTTCAGTAATATTTGATTATGATGTCAAAAATGCAACAGAAAACATCAAATGAGACCAATCAAACTCTTGTTGAGGAACCTGCAACCAAGAAAAGTTGTTGGGTATAACTTGAGTTAATGTAGATTCTGAAACCAGCCCTTAGTTTGAACAAGGTTTTAATTTTGGCCCCAGTTTGTAAGTGGGTTTGACATCACTGGTTTAAAACTTCAGCCCCTGAACCAGGTTTACCCAGTACAGGCTTTGATTGTTTTCCACTGACTATCAGCTTTGAAAACCCAGAAGTATTTCACTCGTCCATCACTTTTATAATTCCTCTTCCTTTCTCCACACGTTTGTGCGCGGTTCAGCTTGTTTAAGTGACATCAGCTCACGTCACATGTCATCTCAGTGTGTTTTGACTGAAAACAGAAGCAGGTCCCACCTCCTCTTTCTCTGCCTTCTGCAGATCTCTCCACTCCTGCAGAGACTGGCTGAAGTCCACGCTGCTCATCGGGATCTTCACAGTTCCGATGGCGTCGTGCTTTGAGAAACGATCAAAGTCGTACACGGTCATCACCAGCGTCCTGCCTCCCAGATCTGTATACGGCACCTGCAGAGCGCGGCACAGATGGTTTGAATCGTGTCATCGTTTCATGTGGACGTACAGAGTTTGAGTTACCTTAAAGGTGAATGTCTCATTGAAGTTTGGCTCCAGTGTCTTTCGATGAACTTTGGTTTCAAACTTTTTCTTTTTGTCTGGGAGCAGATATAGTTTAACGTAAGGGTCGGAGCTACCTCCTACATCCATGGCAGGAAGCTCCTCGGCCTGCAGGATGCCTACAACCAGCTGGAGTCAGACCACAGGGGGGGAGCAACAAAGAAAAGCAGATCAGGCTGATCGACAGAGTGATGAAAAGTGTGACATCTTAGAGTTGTCAGCAGGCGAGCGAAACATGCAAAGCATCAGCAACTCACTATATTTTCTGTGAAGTTGTAGTCTAATGTGAAACGTAGTCTGCCGAGCTTCTCGACCTCCTTGGGCTCAGTTTGTGAGAGGTTTGTTTCTTTGCTTTCATGCTTTGTGGTCTGCACACAGACACAGCCACGCAGGTCAAGGAATAATATGTAAAACATGTCTAACATGAGCGATGCTCCACAAGCCCATTAGTTTCCACTGGCTCTGACAGTTTTAGTGGTTCTGGGTGACCCACATGTCAGGACTGTGATACATTGCAAGGACAATGTGTCTGCAGTAGGTATACAGTATGCATGTGTGTGTGTGTGTTGTAGCTTACCTCATCGTGACCCCCATCCATTTCAGTGTCAAAGCCTCCCTTGCTTTTCTCGTTCTCCTTTTTCTTGTCCTTTTCTTTGTCCTTGTCTTTCTTTATCAAGCGTTTTTTCCAAATGCACACAACACATGAAAGCACGATGCACAAACTCACGACGCAGAGCGCACCAGTAGCCCACGATGGCTCTGAAACAGCCACAAAACACACAAACGCAGCGTAGAAGAAGGTATGGAAGACCCACAACGTTGAACGCCCTGTCATTTAATTCAACTTTTGGATCGCTTGGGTGCATTTTTGCAAACTAAATCTGTGTCTGTTGTTGCTGGAGCCACAGTTTGACAGTTTTCACAGTTTGCTTCATCTCTTTTTCATAATGCTCTTCACTAGATGTACCTTTAGGCCGGTACGTCACACACATTCTCTGTTTGAAGCCTCATAAATACAACCTGTGTGCTGTATTGTCCTAACAGAATAATCAGAGACCTCATTATCTTTGTCACCCCAAAACTCATAACTGCTGCTCTGCTGATCGTAGTGATCTATTATTGGAGTACTGATGCACCCACCCCCTCCTCCACAGCCCCACCATCATTTATTAATAACATTCTGGATGATCCTATTCATCACTGGTTTGATTTTATCCAAAGTAAGCTAAAACACGAGTTCATTGACCACAAGACACGTCCATTATCTTTCTTTACCCAAGCGTGAGTTTATAAATGGTTTTCTATTTGTATAGTCCAAGTAGCAAACTGCAAATTGTTTTAATTCACTGTAAACGTAAAAGATGTGCTTTTACTGAACATGAAGACATCATGTTTCCCAGGCGGTGCCGGTCATGCACAAAAAACAGAGGTTAGAATTCCCTGACCTTTTCACGCTAAACGTTTTCCCAGACGCCCCGAGTCTTAATCACAGCGTTATACGGTTTGTGATTTCTTTCAGCTGCTCCTTTCTGCAGAGATCACAGCAAACAAACCCTCAGGAAAGATTTGGCCATTGTTTTATGCCAGATCAATGTCCTGACGCAGACTGGGCTCGAACCTGCAACCTCAGGATTACGAGATCCCCTCACTGACCACTGAGCTGCTGCGTACACATACAATAAACATTTGAAAAAAATGAACTCATTAAATTTTACTCTTGAGTTATTTTAAACTGCCCTTGATTACACAGCTTTCAGGAGGAAATACTTGTTTTTTAATTTATTATGCAGTTTAAAAAAAACCTGCGAACACTTAATAAACCATTAATAAGCAGCAATGATGTAAAAACAAATAAGTTGACGAGTAAAAAGTCATTTGAGCAGCAAGAAGCAACATTTACTTATATTTATAAAAGTTCAGCGCTGGATTTTACCAAATAGAGGTCCTGCTTCAGTGTAGGGACTGTGTTCTATAATTGATTATTGATAAGGCATTTATAAACCTATGAATAACCTGTTAATAATCATGAAGCTGGTTTATACACATGTAGTTGACAACACAGGAGGTTTATGGAGAAAGTCTTCATTTTCATGACTATATTTGTGCACTTTAGTAAACAAATAAACGAGGGTTATAAGATAGATTCTGAAGTAATATTTAAACAAAAACCTATTTTTAAACTTTTTTTCATCCCCCCAGATTTTGGACGTCTTTCACATTTTTTCTAAAGTGACGCTGTAGTGAGGTTTCACCCTGGAAAAATAACTAAATCAGAAAACTCAAATTTATCAGGTTAGCAGTACAGAACATAAAAACATTTAGTTTATTTCTAAGCAGAACAGTTAAATCTTGCAGGCCATCGAGTCCAAGCTAACATTGAATGAAGTGTGACTCACTGTGATGTTCATTCATGAACTTTTGGGTGCTGTGGCCCCCGGGTGGAGTTTGTTCCGGTGTGGCCGTGGCGTTCAGCATGTTAGCTGGGCTAAACGAGGCGCTCGGTGCAGCTCGACGGCTCATCATCAGCAGGAGTGAATCCAGGGTTGAAACTGAGAAAAGCTCGTCCCACAGCAGATCAACAGAGACAGATGCAGCTTTAAATCTCTTTTAAAGGTGTAATTTAGTTTAATTTAAAGCGCCACTCGCTCAAGCGTTAAAACTGAGTGTCTTTATTGGCTGTCAATCAAATATTTGATGCAATAATGGCCTTAGAGACAGAATATGTGTGCTAGCATCAAATAACTTCTCCTGTTTCTGCTGGCCTGGCAATAACACTTGAAGACAGGATATGAAAGCTGCTGTCGCTGCCAAACCTGCTGAAACTGAGTTGTGAGGTTTGGAGGTGGGGGGGAGGGAGCTGCCAGAGGTCACACAGATGTGCCAAGGTCACGCAAAGTGAACAAAAGAGGAGTTTAAATCAAAATGTTCTGGGGTTTGTTTTTTTTTTGGTTGTCAGGTATTTTCTTGTTGATTCAGCAGATTTATGTTGGCACTCGTTTTATGCATTTCTGATTTTCACCATTTTTCAGGCAGAGACTACCACAAGTTCACAAACAGCATCTGGTGCGCCTGAATTCAAGGTGCAGAAAGTTTCAACAAAACTGAGAAGGTCTGCTTATTTGAACATTTTCACGTAATATTCTCTTTGAGTGGCTCAAACCTTGTTAGTTGTTGCTCAAGTATTGAAAAGCAGCTCTTTTTTAAAGCTTGTTGCCATTAAATTAGTTAGGATTCGAAAATCTATTTGAGCGTTATTGATGAAATTAAAAGAATTTATCGTAATAATAATAATTTTAAAAGGTTAGAACGATTTAAAAACATACCTTTTAAGGAGACGTCCCAGCAGCTGGATTAGGAAGCAAAGATTTCCCTTTTTTAATGAAAAATGAAGAGATGCGTATCAGCTTGATGTTAGGTCTTTATAAGTCTTCAGATGTAAAGAAAAACAGAGCAGGTGTGTGAACGCTCGGTGGAGAGGGAGCAGCAGAGAGGGTGGGGAAGGTGAGGCTGGAGTTGATGTGTGTGTGTGTGAGTGTGAGTTCAGGATTGGGGTGAATGTGTGTTCTTTTCTGTCCATTCAGGTCTCAGGGGGGCTGTGGTCTTCACTCCTGATGCTTCACCTCCTGAGACCTCTGCTCCATCCCTGCAGGTCACCCTCACCGGGCCACCGATGTATATTCATCAGTTCGGTGACACTGCTTTTTAAAGCTCGTTAGCATGCTGAGGGTTCAGCAGCAGAAGGACATTTACATTCAGAGTGGCCACCTCTGAACGTGTACGAGTGTGTGTGTGTGTGTGCGTGCAGCTGTACATCTGGCTGTAGCTGCAGAACTGTCTCGTATTGTCCATGTATAGATGATGTAGCCTGATTTAGAAACTTGGGATGTGGTTTCTGCAGAGATCAGGTTACGATCCTGCGTTCACCTTGAGGTTGGACCATTAAAGTACAGAAGGTAAAGAACAAGAGGAGAACACGATATATGTGATGTGCAACGTGGGAATATACACTGTGGATCTTATTAAGTAGTAAATTGCAATTTAACATTCTAGGAGTCCACAATTCATGTTGTTATTTTACATTTGAAGATATTTTGCAACTAAACATCCGAAAAATCATTATCTACCCTAACACCAAATACATTCCAGGTTTGTTTAATGTTTTATGTATATTTGAAAATATTGTGCTTGTGTATTTATCTTTCACATGTATTTTTATATATATATTACATTAACCAAACTTGACTATCATGTTCATATGAGGAAAGTACTTTACTAAATTAAAGTTATTTTGGGAAACAATGTGAAGACTCTATGAAAAGTTCATTTAACTTTTTGAATAAAAAATATATATATTATGACCTTCCTTTGTGATGAGCCATGATTGTAAACATGACAAAACATGTAATATTTTTTTAAAGAAAAGTTTGTTTGGGTTTTTATTTAATTTCTTCTTTTTTTATATTATTTCTAAGTTTTATTGTGATAGTTTCTGTTTTAAAGACTTGTATTGAACGTTATAAATAACACAGACCGCCTTTGATAACGTATTGCTCAAAACAGGGAAGCAGTGATGGCGAAGGCCCAGCAGAGACTCCTGGGGACTCTCGGGAACAACAAGTTGGATCAGAGGCAGCTGAGATTTTACAGATCCACCATAGAGTGTAATCTCATACTGCATCTCCTCCTGTTACTCTGGGGGGCATAAATCATAGACTGCCTCACTGGAGGAGATCACCAGCCCTCTGAAAGTTCTCAGAAGCTCCACTACCATCCTCAAAGATTCATCAAACCCCACTCATGTCTTGTTCAAACACATGCCTTCTGGCAAATGCTACAGGTTCAAACAAAAACCCCTGGGCCATCATAATACTCAAAGACCGCGGACCTCGAGACTTCCTGACTGGTGCAATTCTAGTTTCTGTTCTGTGGTTCTGTTCTGTTGAAGAGCAATTCACACGTGTTCAGTATTTCTTTTTTTTATATATGTACTCTACAGCTGTGCAATTAATTTTTTTTTTTTTTTTTTTTTACTACTTCAACTGTGTAAATGTAATTTAAAAAACAATGTACACTGATTTTGTTGTGTAAAAAAAGTACTGATTGGTTTGTATAAAAGAGGTCTTTATTCTTTTATACTGATTGCTTGTTTCGATTAGGACAACAAACCCTTTCTTTATATAAATTGGTAGATGCACCTGTAATTTTATCAATGTCTATTCTATTCTATTCTATTCTGCAAACTAAGTTCTGTGCAGCCAAATTACTATAACTGTAAATGTCTAAACGGACCTGTATTTATAGGGGCTGCAAGCATATTTTTTTTTTTTTTCATTTAGCCTTTATTTGTCCAGGTTAGTCTCATTGAGCCACGAGAACTCATTTTCAAGAGAGACCTGTTTAGGGAGCACATGGTGGGGGTTAAGGGCCTTGCTCATGGGCCCAGAGTGGGGCGAATGAGGGTGGGGGCAAGTGTGGGTGTTTCACCTACCCCACCCACAATTTTGATGTTGTCGGGGCCGGGGCGTGAACCGGCGATCTTCGGATCACAAGCCCACCTCTCTAACCTCTGCGCCACCACTCCCCAATATGTTACCTTCATAATAACAAAAATATTTTACATTATATATAAATATATTTATCTTAGCAGTAAAAATAGGGAAATTGTTACAGATTTTTTTTTTTTTATTATAATTTTACACTTGAATGCCGTAAAGCAGTAGTAGTGTGGGACTACTCGCCAGATCGCAAGAGGGCGACATTCAGCTGAGCTGTAATTCCACCGTAGAAGAAGACTCGTTTCTAGGCAACACAGGTCAGACTTCCTGTTTGAGATTTGCTTGCATTATCTTGCGTACTCAGTTTTCTGTTAACTAAAAGCCTAATTCGTAGGGTTTTTGTTGAATTTTCCACCGGATAAGCTCGTTTGGTCGGAGTTTGTTGTTGTGTTCATACGAAGGGAGCGAGCTAGCAAATGCTAATAATCTGTCGGTGAGTCAAATCACGGTCGAGTCAAAACAATCCGCGCTCATTGATTATTGGAGCGACACTAACGGAGAGAAGCTGACAGTGAATATCATTTTGTTTGTGCTGTGCCTGTTGCGATATTTATTTTTGGTTCTGTTGAATCTAACTCACAAATGTTGGAAAAAGATGCAGCAAAGTTTTGTTTTGCGTTCCTGCACAATCTTTAAGCAACTGTCCAACAAAATGTTTGTTAATGTAGTTTTATTTTTTACCCAGAAAGTCGTGCCGAAATGGGTTTATATATATATATATATATATATATATATATATATTCTTAATTGTTATTTGACTGTAGGAGAACTCTAAAGTAGATTGTCATTTTTATTTATCGCAGAAGTATTACTTTTATGGAATATTGCAATAATTGACTCTTCCATAAATGAGTAATTTTCCCATGACTTTTAGGTTAGGAAAGTCTTCCAATATGTGCATGTTCTTTAGCTTTTCTTCGGTTGTAAAATCTGTGATCGGGTGTGTCTTCTCCCCAATATTTCTTTTTTGCTGTTGTTTGTTTGTTGGGGGTGACTTGGGGTCACAATTTGGAGACTTAAAATTAACAGAAGTTGAGCACATTTTATATCTTTCTTTTCACTTATGTTACTCTCTCACTTGAGCAGTCTTCATCCATGTCCAAAATGAAGCTCTTGAATTTTATTTTCAAAGTTGCCAGGTCAGCTGTCAGCCAGGAAGACACATCCATCCATTATCTTTTGCCATCCATCCATTATCTTTTACCCACTTCTTCCATTTTGGGTCGTGGGGGTCGGCGGTGCCCATGTCCAGCAATCACTGTGCGAGAGGCGGGGGACACCCTGCACAGGTCTCCAGTCCATCACAGGGCCACATAGAGACAAAAAAGACAAACCATTCACTCTCTCACTCACACCTAGGGACAATTTAGGGTTACCAATCAGCCTAACATGCATGTTTTTGGTCTGTGGGAAGAAACCGGAGTACCTTGAGAAAACCCACCCAACACAGAGAGAACATGCAAACCAACCAGAAAGGGCCCGGGCCGGGATTTCAACTAGGGTAACCTGCTCTCTGAGAGGCAGCAGCTCTAACAACTGTGCCACCAGGCTGCCCCCAGGAAGACTCAGATCTTTTAATTAAACAAATCCTCAGCCTACATACTGTACGGCTGCAGTGATTGTCGAGGCTCATGTTGTTGAGCTTTGAAACCTCAGTAGAGCCGTTCCAGTGTCTTTGTTTCATTGCAGGTGACAGAAGACACTTCATGGTCTACTCGTGTTTTGAATTTAAAAATAGTGATGCAAAAAGTGTAAACACGTTTTTTTTTTGTTACAGTGTGTCAGAATGCTGTCAGTGGAGCACCTCCACCTCAAACATGTCCTGCAGACAGTGTGTGCCCTGGAGGCCGTCATACTTCGCAGTTTTGGCCCAGAGGGAGGACAGGTGTTGTTTACCCGCAGTACTGGACAGGCAATGCTGAGCCGCAGTGGGACGCAGATACTAAAAGCTTTGCATCTGGAGCACCCACTGGCCAGGTTAGTACAAAAATAAATAATTGTACTGTTTTACTCCTTTTACCTAGTGCCAATTCCACTGTGATGTGCTTTGTTTTGTTCATATTAGGATGGTGGTGGAGTGTGTGTGGAAGCACAGCACTGTAACGGGCGATGGATCAAAGACATTTGTTCTACTACTTGCATCTCTACTTCGATTGATACATGGTGCAGCCAGCAAGGAGCCGATCGCGTCTCAGTGGTATAAGTCCACTGAAGCTGCCACTGCCAGGCATTTAGCTGACAAACTGCTAGCATTTGCCATGACAGAGTTGGACGATCTCATTTCAGTCAGTGTGGTGCCGCATGGATTCTGTGTTTCGCTTGAGGATTTCAGTACAAAAACACAGCTGCCAGCTCGCCCAAATGGTTTCCGCGTTCAGACACTTCTATCATCGTTTTTTCACACACGTCTTGATTATGTGCACTGTGACTTTTTAAGTGACCTCGCATGTGAACTGCTCGGCCGCTGGAAAGTTCAAAATGACCAGCTTTCCCTTCAGTTTATAAATGACAACTTCCCAGCACTGCACACGCAGGTTTCAGGCTGCCCTGTCAGCTGCTCACGTTTGATTGAGGGGCAGATAATTCACAGAGACTTTGCTACACCGCGCCTCCAAGTCAACAAGCAGCCAGTCAAAGCCGTAGTTCTCACAGGGTACCTGCAGCCGAAGTTACTCAGTCGAGGTTATGTGCTCGAGTTGGGTTGTGGTGGCGGGGTGACGGACGAGAAAAGTATCATGCCATTTAGTGCCTGGACAGAAAGAACACTAGAGAGCGTTCTTGCAGCTCTGCAGAGTTTTGGAGTCTCTGTGCTTTTGTGCTCACTGAAACAGTCTGCTGCTGCCTGCGCTTTAGCTGCACAGGCTGAAATGTGCCTTGTGGAGTGTGTCAGTGAAGAAGAACTTTCTCTCTTTGTACAGCTTAGTAGAATAACACCCATCTCAGACTGCTGGACGATTCAACCAGAGAATGTTGCTACACTGATGTTTTGCAAGGCAATACTGCTCGGAGCCCACAGGTATCCAGATATCCTCCGTCCCTCTCAATTTATTGGATTTAGTTGCATGTAGAGTTTGTGAAACAAACATGCGTCAGCTTTGATCCACATGGTTATAATGATCTTGTTTTCCTCCCAGTCTGATTACAAGTTATTTTTCTTTCTTTTACAGATATGTCCACGTGGCTTTCTGTGATTCAGAAGAAAGAGTTAAACCTTATAGTCTGGTGATTTGTTCTCCAGGAGAAGAGCAAACTGCCCAGTACACAAGTGCATTTCAAGATGCAATCCGTATGCTACTTACAACTTGGAAGCCTGAGTGTATGACTGAGGCCACAGCACTGAGACCCATTCAGTCACATAAATGCACATCGTCACATGAAAACAGTCTTACAGCATGCAGATCTGATGCGCGTGTTTTAAAGCCAGGTTGTGTGATACCTGCTGGTGGAACATTTGAGTTTCTCCTGCACCATGCCCTCATACAACATGGCCACAGTTGCTCAGCTCCTAATGTAGGGGTTTCTCAGATCTTGGCAAATGCCCTCTTGAGTGTGCCTCGACAGGTTTACTGTCACAATCCAAGACGTTTCCTGCAGACTCAAACCAGGGTCGTGAGTTTGATTTCCAACCAGTCCCATCACTTTATTCCACACGATACGGCTGGAGATCCTGAAACGGGAGATGTACCATCAAAGCTTTTTATGTTGGACTTGGGCCTTGAATCCATCTCCTGTAAGCACCAGCTGCTCCTGGCTGTGCTGCAGTGTCTCACAAGTCTCCTCCGAGTGAACACGGTGCTGCGGACGCACACCGCTTTACACTCGCCGACGCACAAACTCGCAAACATTTCTGAGGAGAGCCCAAACGAGACTGAGGACTGAAATCGTTGTCTGTCGTCAACGTATTTTCCCAACACTAAGAAATGCATCAAACGTTGGATAAGATTTTTAAATGAGTTCAATTATAGCTCATTAGTTTTATTATGTGTTAAAGCAGATGGTTTTTCACCCTCTTGTCCTAAATAAAGGCAAGTTTTGGTAAGAGTTGTAAAAAAATCATCTGGTTCATCTCATATTATTGAATACATAGTAATTGGTTTAGTCCTGGAAAATGGATAAATGTTGATGATTATGTATCGTATTAAAAAGAATAATCTGTATTTTTATTTTCCTGCCAGTCTTTTGGACGATAGTTTCAGTTGCATAAAATCCTACTTGTAAAAACATGAACGCATTGCCTCAAAGATATTTCCCCTCCTTTTTTTTAAATTAGGCTTATCTTCAGAGTGGAGCTGAGATTTCTGGGAGGGCAGCACCCAACTTTCATCAAACAAATCATAGTGTGCTTCCTCACGCTGCAATCAAAGGAGCGCAACGCTTCGGCAGGGAAATGGTGAGTCATTTAGACTCGCAACTACACGTTGTTTACTGCAACTTCTGCATCCTTCGTTTGGAACACTAATTTTCCATAACTTAAATGAAACAAAGTCACCCAGAAACAAAGGCAGCTCCCAGCTTTGTTTATGATCCCCAGGAGTCACCGTTGATTGTCTCCAACATCAAAGGTGGGGGTTCCCGCTGCAAACGAGCCTGAAAAGTGTTTTTCCATCTTACAAAGACACCACCCTCCTTACACGGCCGGCCTTTTGTAGTACGTGCCAATCAGGATATATGAAACAGTTCACCGCTTACCAGGAAGTTTTGATCTCTACTGAATTAAAGTCAAACGACGAGAGAGAGAAATTATGAGACATGCACCAGTTCATTTTATTTGGCTCGCATTAACTGGATGTGTGAAACGTTATGCACATAGGGCATACATCAACCCACTCTGTCAGACCAATAGTACATTACAAAATACATAAACTGCAGATTCCATATAAACACCAAACATTAGAAAACTTACAAAAAATAATATACACGTACAAAATGTGGAACAATAAAATGAAAGGCGTTTCAAACGTGGGCAAACAGAGAGTTGGGGAAGAAGGGAAGGAAACTGGGAACCAAGATGCTACTCTAACACAGAGTAAACTACAGTCGCCTTGTAGTTTGTAGCTTGGCGTTTATTTGGCTGCTCGCCACCATGATACTGGTGATAGTGGTGGTTTAGGTCTTTATTTTGGCTGTCAACCATAAATATAGACCAAGACCCAAAGTGGTTATTATTGAAATGTGATCAACACACAATGATGGGCTCTTACAGAGACAGTCAGAAGCTCACAAATACCAATTTCAGTCAAATAACCACAAAATAACACGCTTCTTGTCAACATGGCCTCTGAAGCAGATGACACCCGGTTTACAGTTGGGCTCGGTAACCACATCACATCTACGTGAGCACAATCTAAACCAACGCGCCATAATGGTGAACAGAGAACGTGAAGGGACATGATGCCAAGCTGCACGCAACTTTCTGTGGTTGTCTTTGGCTTCGTTTTAAAGTAGGTCAGCCTTGGTAGGTGCAATATGGAGATGGTAATAAACTTAAAAAAAACTCATTAAGAATTACTTTTTTGCACATGAATCGATTGAGATAAAATAAATCCTTAACTAAAATATGCCTTTTGTTTAAATTTCCGTACGTTGCAGGTTGCGTTTTGGGGCTTGGGTTCACACTTGTTGTGTGAGTTTAAAAGTTTTGGATCTAAAGAAGCCGACAAACAAATTGGTGTTCTGAAATCTAACCACGAAGCAAAAGCTTCATATTAGAGAACGATCAATAGGTGTAATAAATCTCTACCTCATTATCGAGGATCCTGGAAATTAATATAAAGTATTTTTCAGTGGCCAAATAAGTTTATTGTTTTGATGAAGAACTACACAGAGACCAGATTTTTGCATTAAGTCCTACAGTTTGTACATTAAACTATAATCTTGAAAGTCTCCAGGGTTCTTGCATAACGAAAGCCCTCCGTAGTACAAGCTAAATCTGTACAATAAAGCATTTAAACACAACAGATGCAGCATGACGTCACCTTCACATCCTCCGTAGTCAGAAATGTCTGCACCCAGTCAAGCATAGGTTAACCCCCTGAAACCAGTTTCTGTTGGCAGTGGAGAGTCGTGTGACTCTGGGAATGACATCATGCAAATTTACAAGATCTTAAGATGGATATCACACCACCTCCCGGGACTTCCTTATGGCACAGCACAGAAGCATGCTAAAGATCATCCCGAATACCTAAAAGAAACACACAAGAGGTACGTTACTTGTGTTTCAGGTAGTTGGTGTTAATGTGTTTTTTCTCTAGGACGAGGAAAATTAAAATGAGCTTTTTTTGTGCAGCAGTTGAACACTTACCATAACAACTCCGATGGTGATGCCCACTCCTCCGATAATGTGTAACTTGGAGTCAAACATCTCGTCAATGGCCGCGGGACAGCTCTGCAACAGAAAGGCAACAAAAAGTTTTCATTCTTTAGACTGTGCTTTAAAGGAAAAGTCAGACCTGTAGTGAAGTGGAATGTCTGAGTGAACCACTAGGACTTTTTTTTAAGATTTAAATTGTTTTAAGATGGCAGTAATCCAGCCTTTTGTCAGAACTAAATTTTGTTTATTCAAAAGTGAGGTCATTCAAAGAGCTATCAACAACAGGTAAGATATTCATTGATTGCAACTTTTCCACAGAACCTCACTTCTAAACATCTGAACTATTGCTTTGACATGATCAAGGTTTAATGTCTTGTCATTCGCATCACATGTGGTACATGAGATGGAACGAAATTACGTACACAGGATCCCAGTTACATCCAACAAGAGCAAAAATATAAAGTGTAGAAAGAAACAGTAATAAGATCTAAGATAAAAGCTAAGAATACGCTAAACACTAACAGTGCAAAACAATATGCTCAACAACAGCAGCACGAACATGAGTCTGTGTGAGCAGATGAGTATGAATGAACACAGCAACATGAAATAATCCGCACAAACAGTCTCACCAATCAAAGTGGCATTACTGTGATTTTTTTTCTCACAGTAATAAGCCTGATTAGGGATTCATGAGTCTAACAGCTTCAGGGTAGAAGCTGTTCCTCAGTCTAGTGGTTCTACACTTAATGCTCCTCAACCTCCTTCCTGAGGGGAGTGGGGCAAAAAGTGTGTGCTGGGTGAGTGGGGTCCTTCATGATGCAGGTGGCCCTCTTCCTGCATCTGGATGTGTAGATGTCTGTGATGGTGGGGAGGCTGACTCCAAAAGACTTCTGTGCAGCCTTCACCACTCTCTGCAAAGCTTTTCTTTCATGTGCTCATGTGCTCATGTGCTGATGTGTTGATGTGTTGATGTGCTGATGCGACGACATCAACACACAGACAGGCTGAGCGTGTGCAGCCTGCAGTAAACTGCTGTGTCACAGTCTGTCTTTTGAGTTGTTTTTTGTTAGCTATTTTATTTTAAATGTATTTCCTTTTTTTATTGTTTTCTGTATGTTTTAGTGTTTCCTCGTGTCCCCATCAGTTCACTCTTCCTCAGCCACGTTTTGTTCCTTTCTCACCCTCTCTCACCTGCTCCCAGTTGTCATTTTGCCCAGGTGTCTCCTCTCATCAGCCTCCGTCCATAAAGTCCCTCAGTCTTTCTCTTCACCTTCAGTCTGGCACTGTGTGCTCACTTCACGCCATGTCTGCATCTCCTGGAGTTTTATTTTGCTTTCTTGTTGCTGCTACACCAGCCTTTTGTTCTGTTTATTAAAGTTGGTTTTTTTAATTCAAGGTCCTCGTGTCCGTCTGAATTCCTTTATAAACTGTTGCCATGGTTACACTGTGAGGAGGCTGAGGAAATTAATCTGACGGGGTATTTTATTACACAGACAGTCATAACTGGGACTTGCAGCAAATGTTGAACTTTCACCGAGATTGAAAATTTGCTTCTTTTTTTTATTTGTTAAAATGTATTTTTCTCTGTCTCATGTCTGAAGGTGCTTCTGGTTCTGTTCAAACATGCAGAGTGGTCGTACCTTAATATGTATCTGCTCCGGAGGATCTACTTGAGGACAAGTGTCTTTGTCCGTTTCTACCACCATACCATGTTGACCACAGCAGTTCAACTGGAAACAGAATTTAAGAGAACACGTTACGTTTTTCATCCAACGCTCCAGCATCTCATCTTGATCTGTAGATCTCACAGGTAAAATGTTTTTGTTGGACAAGACAATTATTGACATGTTGGATGAAGAGTAACACTTCTTATCTAACTCTCAAAAGGGCCGTCATCACATCTTTAAAAGAATAAGGTTATTTTTGTAGTCAGACTCAAAAATACAAAACTGTTGGTAGCTATAAATTCTATATAAATTCTATATAAATATAAAGTCTTACCTGTGTCTGAATCAAACGCAGGGTCTCTTTAAGACGCTCTTCTCCTGACTTATATCTGTTGTACGTCTGGAGGTAGAAACTGTTGATGTCATCCACCACCTGCAACAGAGACGCAAAACAGGAGGAAAATTATTGGAAAACCACTAAAATTACACATTTGTTATCACTGCCTTGTTTAAGAACGTGCCAACTCATGTTTAGGTTTTGTTATTCTTCTTTTATTTGTTCTATTGTTTTACACCTGCTACTTGTTTCTATGGTTTCTTTGAGAGTAAAATCTCTATGAAGCAATTTTCTTGTATTTATTCACATATTACTGTATATCTACTTTTAATAAATCCTCAATAATCCAGGTAGATAAATCTAACAAGGTGCTGTATTCAGCTCAGTCTTATAAGCAGCACCTTCTCATAGTGGATCAACCAGTCTGCTGGTGACATCCAGAACTAGTTGTTCACATGATCAAGGAGAACCATCAGCCTAACAATGATTCACATCCTCCATATCGTCCTTTGTCATGTGAACAGCTAGTTGTGGCTGTCACCAGCGAACTGTAGATCCACTATGAGAAGGTGCTGTTTATAAGACTGAGTTTGTTGCAGCTCCTCAGGGTGAAGAAGTCTTTTCGATAAAAGACGAAACGTTTCAACAAAGAAGAACCCGTCCAGACGACCTAACTTAACCTTGTTAGATAGATACTCTTAATATAACACATGGAATTATTTACCTTCGTTTGGTTTGAAAACCCCCAGATTCCAGCTGCTACCTCGACAGCAAATATGATCAGCAGAAAGAAGAAGAACTGCAAAATGAAAGAAAAGCTCAATTAAATGTTCTCTGTCTTTTCTGGGCACGACAGAAACATGAGGTCAGACGGGGGGTGCACATTTCACTTGAACCCTCCTCTGCTGAGATTTAGTGCAAGAGGATTATGCTAAGACAGGGAACGACGGAATGAGCGAGCGCTGATAAATCTAGAGGCGCTTTGTGTCCATGAGCCGTTTCAGTGAGCAGCGATGAGAGCTCACGGATACTAAACTGAATTAACAAGCTTTTGTAAAAAGAAAAAGCCTTCCTATTCACGACTGATAACGTTGACTTCCTGCACAGTGAAAGAACCTTTAAAAATATTTATAAGTTCATGGAAAGGTTATGAGCAGTTAATATCTTACCTGTTGTAGATAGCTCAACTTTACTTTAAACTGGCGAGCTAATGACTATTCCAAGCAGACTGATGTTTTGCAAAAACCTTTACACTGCTATCAGTTTTGCTTCACGTGGTTGTTTTGGCAAAATATATATTCTTTCCAGAAATATTTCAGGCTGTAGCAGACGTGCTACAGGTCCTTCTCAAAAAATTAGCATATTGTGATAAAGGTCATTATTTTCCATAATGTAATGATAAAAATGAAACTTTCATATATTTCAGATTCATTGCACACCAACTGAAATATTTCAGGTCTTTAATTCTTTTAATACAGATGATTATGGCATACAGCTCATGAAAACCCAAAATGCCTGTCCCAA